TAATCACTCCCTTAGGTATTCCAAATCAATGCCCTTGCTCTGTTCCCATTCTCTACACTTAGTGTGAAAAAATCCCAACTATCTATAAATGCCATGCTTGTGTCTGGGTACCTGAATGTTGCTGGAGAGTAATTTCCAGCCATACTGCTTATTCCCACTTTAAATCCATGATCCCCTTAGGGAAGCCTTAAGGTCACCTGGCAATTCTACTACCTTCTTCCAGTCCGTTAACTCTTCTGCTTGCCCAGTAATTACTGTAACTTCTCACATCTCTAAAATCTCCTATCTCCTTGATAATCACACTCTTAGCTGATGATCTTGCTTTCCATTTTACTGAAAAAATACTTGTAACAAGCAGAAAACCTCCACAAGCTCCCACACCACCACACAGAGTCCTGAGCTGCACCCAGGCCAGTGCCCTCTACCTTTCTCCTGTTTCTGTGTAAGAACTGTCCACATTACCAGGGCCAATACTTCCGCCACCTCCTTTCACCCTCTCAAATATCTCTCCCACGGCACCACTTTCCCCCTTTCTGTCAGATTATTCCCATTAACAGATAAACATGTTGGTATTTGGCCCATCCTTTAAAAAACAGCTTGACCTGACAGCTCTCTGTAGCTACTTTTCTGTATCTTGATTACGGTGGTAGTAACATGAATCTATAAATGTGTTACAATTCAGAGAACTGTACATCAAAGGAAAAAATGATGTGTAATTTTAAAAATAACACAAACTTGCTTAATTCTGATGTCCAAAATGAGAGTGAGTTCAAAGGGTGCTCAGATACAAGATGTTATACAAATGTTAGAGCCTTCCCATATTATTCATAACAGCTAAGGAAAAAATGTCATTCACAGCAGCAACAAAAATTTTAAAATACTTTGGAATGAACTTAAGAATTATGCAAAACTATTCACCTACTCTGTAGAATTTGTTTGTAATCCCCTTTAAAAAAGAATGATGAAAAACCTAGATGAAGAAAATTACAAACCCTGAAAACAAAATTGAGACACATTTCATATTCCTATATAGAAGGACTTGGTATCATTCAAATAGCAAATTTCCCCCAGATCAGTTTATAAAGCCAGTTAATTCCAATCAAAATTAATCTTATCAAATTTCCAGTAAGACTATTTTTGGGACACAGTATCTTGATTCTAAAATAAATCTAACACAGTAAATGGCAAGAAGAGGTATAAAGTTTCCATTTTTTATTTTTTTTAAAGATTTTATTTATTTATTTTGACAGAGAGAGAGAGACAGCGAGAGAGGGAACACAAGCAGGGGGAGAGGGAGAGGGAGAAGCAGGCTTCCCGCTGAGCAGGGAGCCTGACGCGGGGCTCGATCCCAGGACCCAGGGATCATGACCTGAGCCGAAGGCAGACGCCCAATGACTGAGCCACCCAGGTGCCCCGAGGTATACAGTTTTTAAAAAATAAGAATAATCTGCAGAGCATTTAACTTACTCTGAAACATACAAATGTACAATTCAAAGCTGCAGTAATAAAATTACCACCATATGGATACAAGACTAAACAAACAGATCAGAGAAACAAAAAGACATATATGGGAATTTGGTATGTGATAAAGCAGGTATCCTCAATTGGGGAAAAGGACAGATGATCCCAGGACAAGTGGTAATCCACATGGTCAAAAAAAAAAGAGTTTGATCCCTACACGTCATATTAATCTCCCAAAATATATACCAAATGAATGAAACATTCAAACGGGAGTCATAGGAGTGTTTGAAAAAGATACAGAACCTTGTTTTTAGATCTTGGGACAAAGTAAACCTTTCTCACCAAGTCATGAAACCCAGACAGATAAGACTGATGCATGAAATACATAATGGGTTTAAATCACTAAGATTTATTTATTTTTAAGATTTTTATTTATTATTTGAGAAAGGGAGAGAGAGGGAGAGAGAATCTGAAGCAGACTCCCCACGGAGCAAAGAGCCCGACACAGAGCTCAATATCAACCTGAGATCAGGACCTGACCAAGAGTCGGACACTTAACCGACTGAGCCACCCAGGCGCCCCAGTCACTAAGATTTGAAAGAGAAAAGAAAAATGGATAAAGGATACAAACGGGAAACTTATTTTAAAAAGCAAATATGAATGACAAAAATACATGAAAATATCATCAATCTAGTTATCAAAAGGAAGCAAGCTTTAAAAAAAATATAATTTTTTGTCCATCAGAAAATTATCTATATAGTATTAGTAAGGGTATAGAAAAATGGATACTCTCATTCAGTTTGGCAGGATAATAAAGTACTCTGACATTTTCTCAAAAGCAATTTAGCAGTACCTATTAAAATGTCAAATATTCATTCTTTTTGACCCAGGACACCCACTTCTAGGAATTTATCCTACAGAAACTCTCTTAACAAGGGTAGAGAGTTATGTTAAGGAATGTTCACTGCAGATGTTTACAGGGGCAAAAAAATCAGAAACCACTCAATGCCCACTGACAGGGGATAAACCATGGTGCCAGCACATACTGGAAATAGAATGTGTCAGATCTATGAGCACTAAGATTCAGACATGGTCAAGTACATTGCTAAGAAAATTACTGTTATGTCCATGAGTCCCTTTTTGTTAAAATAAACAAAAAGTTAATGTCTATATAAAAAACTGTGGGAATATACACCAAACTACTGAAAGTGATCCTCTTTGAGGAGAGAAATTTCAAGGAACCTATACTTCCTACATAATGAATTTCTATAATATAGAAATATAATGTTATAATATATAAAATATAATGTTTACATTTTCCATGCTTCTGGTTAATACCTACAATAGGGAAAAAACAAAACGGTTTTGTAAAATGGTTTAATTCAAAGTTTAAAAAAACAAAAAAAGGACAGAAAAATTTTAAATTAAGCCACTCTGCTGGTCAGATTCAAACCTTTCTGGAAAGAGAACCTCCTAGATAAAAACACGGTAGGCCAAACTGCAGCTAAGGAGAAGAGTAGAGGGTCTGCCTGTCCCATTCCTCTTTCAACTTACCAGCTGCCCATGTAAGGAAACTGGCCGAGTAACCACCTAGAATTGGTGGGGACTAAACTCAAGAGGTTTTGCCTTGTTTCAGAAAGCTTTGATCAAGGACAGCAAGGAAAGCCCCACCCACTCATGCTTTTTCTGACTCTAAAAGCAACCCAGGTATCTCAACAACAAGGATTGACCAGTGATTTGTCACTTAAGTTGATACAAAACATGAAGAGGCAAACTTTTAAAGTCTGTAACTCCAGTTAGTGTAGACCTGTGCTTCCCAACCTTCTTTAGCTCCCAGAACACACAGAAAATGAGAATAACTGTCAGGCACATTGCAGCAAACAGAGGCTGCTTACTGACAGAATGGCTGGCCCAGGGTCCTGCTCCAGTAGCCCCAGGCATGGTAGGCTGCGAGCCTCAATACCACGACACATCTGTAACACTGTCTTGGCACACCTATCAGGAGGCTCTGGTACAGGGAAAACATTTCTTTAAAAAGCTTTCTTCCAGGACACCTAGGTGGCTCAGTCGGTTAAGCGTGTGCCTTCGGCTCAGGTCATGATCCTGGGGTCCTGGGATAGAGAACCGCATCAGGCTCCTCGCTCAGCAGGGAGTCTGCTTCTCCCTCTGCCTGTATTGCCTGCTCTGCCTGCCGCTCCCCCTGCTTGTGCTCTCTCTCTCTGACAAACAAACAAACAAAAACTTTTTTTAAAGAAGATTTTATTGGGGCACCTGGGTGGCTCAGTTGTTAAGCGTCTGCCTTCGGCTCAGGTCATGATCCCAGGGTCCTGGGATTGAGCCCCGCATAGGGCTCCCTGCTCCGCGGGAGGCCTGCTTCTCCCTCCCCCACTCCCCCTGCTTGTGTTCCCTCTCTCACTGTGTCTCTCTCTGTCAAATAAATAAAATCTTTAAAAAATAAATTAATTAATTAATTAAAAAGATTTTATTTATTTATTTGACAGAGAGCGAGAACACAAGTACGCAGAGAGGTAGGCAGAGGGGGAGGGAGAAGCAGACTCCCACTGAGCAGGGAGCCCAATGTGGGGCTCGATCCCAGGACCCTGGGATTATGACCTGAGCCGAAGGCAGCCGCTTAACCGACTGAGCCACCCATGCATCCCAAATAAAATCTTTTTAAAAAATAAAAAGCTTCATTCAAAAGTACCATTACAATCACTCAACATATATTTATTAAGCACCTACTATGTGCTAAACAGTGTGTTAAGTATGGACATCTGCCCTAAAGCCTAGAGGGGAAAGACGGAGAAATAAGCAGTTCCATGCTATCTGAGGGGCAGTATCAGGATTTTTAACCTGAGTCCCATGCCTGGGAAAAGGGAGTCTGTCAACAACTCCTTCCCAGAAATGATCCCTGCACAAAAGGGTGAAGTGTATTTCAGGCAGAGGGAAGAGCAGGCATAAAGATCTAAATAAAAGAAGTCAAAAAAGCAAAAGAGGTTCTATATTGTACATGTAGAACATGAAAGAGTCAATTTAGTAGTTTTAACCAATGTATTTTTGATAAATACAGAATGTGGTTTAACAGAAAGCCAATCACCACAAAAGTCAGGAAAGCATATGCCTTCCTACACAACAACCAATCAAACATAAGCTATAAGAAAAGTTTATTTGGGGAAATGAAGAAACTTCTTGAGGATAAAATCTATAAAAACAGAAAACACTATTGATTTACAAGTACTATGAGCTTATACATGAAGTTCAGAACAATTTTTACTCTGGTGGCAGAGGTTTACACTGAAAAAGAATAAAACATGACCCATTTTTTAAGGCAAAAGCTCATTCAAATACTCAATGTAATACTTAATTTAAAGAAATGGGAAAGCAAAAGAACTCCCAGATAATTAGTATGTAAGTTTCTTGTTCTTAAAAACATTTAATTAACTTAGAAATTAACTCAAATATATACATTATCTTCCTCTTTCTCTCACATGGAACTAAACAGAGCAAGTGTCATAACAGAAATTAGGCTTAATATTTACCTCTCTGCCTGTAAGGATGTGTCTTGCCAATTTCACTTTTGCAAAATTCCCCTTGCCGATTGTTTTCAACAGTCTGTAGTTTCCGATGTGAGGCTGTTCGTCAGCACAGGAAGCTATAGAGTTTCTACACCGAGCCCCAGAGCGCCCAGTGCGAGAGGTAACTTCTTGCCGCCCATCTCCATGTGACGTGTGCTACGATATAACATACACAAAAATTAGGAAATGAGAGAACACATGGTATCTGCCAAATTTTAAGAGCCCCTAGTTGAAGAAACAAAACATTACTGCTTTAATTTTAATCTTAATGCATCTAGCACTTTAAAGAAATTTGCCCACATGATCTAAATTTATGAGGAAAACAAGGAAATGCTGAGAAGAAAAATATCAAGGGTTGAAGTGGGTGTTGAGAAGGAAATGAGATATTTTCTGTATGTGGCTGCAACAGAAAATAGGAATAACAAGACTGCCTTATAGTCATAAAGAATGTAATCTGTCCATAAGCTATTAAGTGCACCTGCACATATGATCCTTCACCAGTGGAGGGTATTTTTGTGATTTATTCACGGCCACATCACTATTTAGTGAAAAATCCAAAGAGAATCTGGATTCTCAATTTCTTTCTACACTATGCTGCTAACAGTAATTCAAAATAATGTGTTTCAAGACGCAGCCAGATTACGGGGCGCCTGGGTGGCTCACTCGGTTGGGCGTCTGCCTTCGGCTCAGGTCATGATCCCAGGGTCCTGGGATCAAGCCTCGCAGGGAGTCCTCTTCTCTCTCTCCCTCTGCCTCTCCCCCAGTTTCTATTCTCTTGCTCACTCTCCCTCAAACAAATAAAATCTTTTTTAAAAAGCAGCCAGATTAGAGAGGCACAGGCAGTAACTAACTTCTCTGACAGAGGCTGTGGCAATTTTTTTCTGGATAGGTCCCCTGAGGCAAGCAAAACAAAATCAAAAATAAACAACTGGGACTACATTAAAATAAAAAGCTTCCGCACAGCAAAGGAAACAATCAACTGAACTGAAAGGCAACCTATGGAATGGGAAAAGATATTTGCAAATGACATATCTGATAAAGGGTTAGTGTCCAAAATATATAAAGAACTTACCAAACTCAACACCCAAAATCCAAATAATCCAATTTTAAAAAATGTGAAGACATGAACAGACATTTCTCGAAAGACATACAGATGGACAACAGACATATGAAAAGAAGCTCATTATCACTCATCATCAGTGAAATGCAAATTAAAACTACAATGTGATTATCACCTCACACCTGTGAGAAGGCTAAAATCAACAACACAAAAAACAACAGGTGTTGGTGAGGACATGGAGAAGGGGAACCCTCGTGCACTGTTGATGGGAATGCAAACTGGTGTAGCCACTCTGGAAAACAGTGTGGAGTTTCCTCAAAAAGTTAAAAAAAAGAACTACCCTATGATCCAGCAATCACACTACTGGGTATTTATACTCAAAATACAAAAACACTAATTCAAAGGGATACATGCATCCCTATCTTATAGCAGCATTATTTACAATAGCCAAGATGTGGAAACAGCCCAAATGTCCACTGATTGATGAATGGATAAAGGAGATACAGGAGCACCTGGGTGGCGCAGTCAGTTAAGCATCTGCCTTTGGCTCAGGTCATGATCTCAGCGTCCTGGGATTGAGCCCCATGTCGGGCTCCCTTTCAGTGGGGAGTCTGCTTCTTCCTCTCCCTCTGCCCTCCCCATCATGCTCTCTCTTGCAAATAAATAAATCTCAATACAGACACACACACACACACACACACACACACACAGGAATATTATTCAGCCATAAAAAAGAATGAAATCTTGGGGGGTCGGGGGATGGGTTAGCCTGGTGATGGGTATTAAAGAGGGCACGTTCTGCATGGAGCACTGGGTGTTATACACAAACAATGAATCATGGAACACTGTATCAAAAACTAATGATGTAATGTATGGGGATTAACATAATAAAATTTAAAAAAAGGAAAGAATGAAATCTTGCCATTTGCAACAACACGGATGGATCTAGAGTATATAAATGCAAAGTCAGTCAGAGCAAGACAAATACCATATGATTTCACTTATATGTGGAATTTGAGAAACAAAACAGATGAATAAAGGGGGGAAAAAAGAGTGAGACAAACCAAGAAACAGACTCTTAACTATAGAGAGCTGATTGTTATAGGCGGGGGCGGGGGAGCAGGGGGAAGGTCAGTGAGGGAATGGAGGAAATAGGTGATGGGGATTAAGGAGCATGCTTGTCTCAATGAGCACCGGGTCATGTACGGAATTGTATCACTATATCATACACCTTAAACCAATGTAACACTGTATATTAACTGGAATTAAAATAAAAACGTAAAAAAAAACCAGCCAGACTACGTGGTCCTTGATAAATGTTAGTTAGATGAATACTCAATATGCTCCATAAAAGTAAAACAAAGCAGATATACCTCTAACCATATTAAACAGAAAGGTACTGGAATTACAAACACCCAATGTGTACAATTCTGCATGCACAAGCATCCAGCTGCCTCATGCTTCCTTTTGCCTCACACCTGCTCAAAGGATGCTGTGGCCCACTGCCTGCCTTTCAGGACACTGCTCTCTCTCCCAGCACTCATACATATACACGAAATCTCCTTCATTCTTTTTTCTTTTTATCCAGGAAAATGTCCCTTTTTTCTCTTGCTCTCTCACTACCTATAGATCAAATCAAGCCTGAATCCAGCTGATAAACATAAGAAACTACGTCGTAATACACGTATCAAGGAAAAAGGAAAAACAAGTGCTCTCAAGTGAAAGCTTAAGAATTTGTGCGATTAGCTTCTGAAGTCTTCAAAGATGTCTTTTTTCAGAATTTCCCTGTTAAACTCCATCTACTTTCTCATATTCTCTAATTAAATATTTCTCCCTCATATATCAGGTTTTAGGATAGATTCACTTCTGTTTTATTTAATTATCATGTAATACTGCATGCAAACAACAATTTTTATGTTTTTATTGTAAATGTATATTTTAAGTAAAGTTGGCTTTTATGAACCAGCTACAAATGTAAGCAATTTGTAATACTGTTCCTGTAACAAAAAGGATTCTAATTTCAAAATAAGAACTTTGGAGAAATAGTCTATTTATAAATGAAGATCTGTTTATCAAAGAAAAAAACTAAAACAGCAACTAAGTTATGAGAGGAGGGCTTCACATAAAACAGGTACATTTGTTGTAAACAAAACGTGCTGCTGTAATGCAAATTTTGTACATCAGATGGAGTATGATTTTAGAAGAATTTTGGTGGGGTGCCTGGGTAGTTCAGTCAGTTAAGCATCCAACTCTTGGTTTCAGCTCAGGTCATGATCTCATGGGTTGTGGGATCTAGCCCCGTGTCAGGCTCCGCACTCAGAGGGAGTCAGCTTGAAGATTCTCTCCCTCTGTTCCCAACACCGCCCCCCCCCAGACCGCAACTGCACGCATGCACTTTCTCTCTCTCTCTCATATAAATAAATCTTAAAAAAAAAAAAAAGAATTTTGGTGATCATGTTTGTTATATGTTTATTTCCAAACTACATTTAAGTTTTGAGAAAACAGGTACAATTAATTTATTATTCCTTAGAACAGTAGTTGGCACAGAACAGGGATTTAATAGATATTAGAATGACTATAACATGATAATATAATACTATCACTGTAGTGTTCAGATGCTTAGATTATGGGAAATTTCTCTTTTCTATCTTCCAAACAGAACTTTTCTTCTATTCATTCATTCAAATATTTACTGAGTGATGACATGGTAGATTCTTTCTTAATTTTTAAAATTTTTTAAGATTTTTTATTTATTTGACAGAGAGAGACACAGCGAGAGAGGGAATACAGCAGGGGAGAGCGAGGGAACACAAGCAGGGGGAGCGGGAGAGGGAGAAGCAGGCTTCCTCGCGGAGCAGGGAGCCGGATGCGGAACTTGATCCCAGGATCCTGGGATCATGACCTGAGCCAAAGGCAGATGCTTAACGACTGAGCCACCCAGGCACCCCTAATTTTTAAAATTTTTAAAAAACACTATTTGAGAGAGAGAGCACACAAGTAGAGGGAGGAGTAGCGGGAGGGGGAGAAGCAGGCTCCCCGCTGAGCAGGGAGGCTGACGCGGGGCTCGGTCCCAGGAATCAAGACCTGAACCCAAGGCAGCCGCTCAACCGACTGAGCCACACAGGTGCCCCAGATTTTATATATGTATATGCATGTGCCAGGCTCTGTTTTGGGTACTGAAAACACAGCAGTGCATAAAACAAAATCCCTGTCCCCATGAGCTATGTGTCCAAGTGGTTTTACTATTTACAGAATGAAAATACAGTCGTTAATATATTCCTATAATTATATATATATACTACTATAACATAACCACTGGGTGGTTCATTCTGTTGAGCATCTGCCTTCGGCTCAGGTCATGATCCCAGGGCCCTGGGATCAAGTCCCGTGTCAGGTTCCCTGCTCCAAGGGGAGCCTCTTCTCCCTCTCTCTCTGCCTCTCTCTTTCATGAATAAATAAAAATTTTTGAAAAAATTATACTACTATCCAAAATTTGGGTTTAAAAAGCTTTGTAATGTAAAAATATTTTCTAATTTACATGTTTTATAAATTCAGCTTTTCATGATTAAGTTTTCTAGAGTGAGGCACAGTTAAATGAACAAAATATTAACTTATGTGCAAATCAACTGTCTTCTACTGCATGTAAAATAGGAATATTAAAAGAATCTTAAGATGCATAGGCATCCAGGGGCACCTGGGTGGCTCAGTCATTAAGCGTCTACCTTCAGCTCAGGTCATG